GATCCACAGAGTCCCACATTTGGAAATGTCTTTGAAAACGGTGCTTTGTTCACACCTGTGGTCAGCACTTTATTTGGTATTTTTCTGTTATCTGAGTTGAATCTGCATGCAGCCAGCATTTTGCAGTCCATATGTCTCAATAGACTGCAGTGTGTATTGTTATCTGTTCCTCTTTCTCTCTACCTGACTGGCTGTGGTCCCCCAATGGCTTTGACCCACACACAGGTGGCTGTCCGTGTAGATGCATGTTGCTATTGTTTAATGCCAATTGCACGTTATGTGAATGTTGCTATTGTTTAATGCCAATTGCACTTTATGTGAAGGGGGGAAAAAATCATACTTGAAATACATACTCTTCAGGTTTGATCTGCCTTAATGCCATATAATACAAAATGTTTGGTTAATGTAAAGACAGTTGTAGCTGTAGTCTTGGAAACAAATATAAAAACTTCAGAAAGAGATTTTAGAATGATGGATATGTAGGGTAAACTCATGGTATCTCAGGTTGTTTGTCCTGTTTGCTGCTTAATGGTCATCAGGATGTCTATTGTAAAAGTAATGGATCTCACAGATGTCAGTGCAAACTTGAAGACAGTGTCCAATTAGAAATGATTTTTTTATGGGGGTAAAATCTGGAAATACAGCATTGCTGCATTTTCCTATGTGGCTCCTTTTGATTTATTTTCTCACCTCATTGTCACCATGATCAGCTACTAGAAAGAAATATTTTCATATTTCCAGTGACACATTTGTTTAATAACATTTTAAACAAGCATAACATTGTGGATGAAAGCATACATGCTTCTTTGCACATCCATTTAACTGAATGCCAAGTAAGGTCATGCACTGTGGGAGCAATAAATCACACAAAACAAAAGCGAGTCATATAGAAACAATGAGATAAAAATAAGGAAAGTATTGTGATCTTTTTGTTCATCTGTAACATGACTTCCCAGTAAGGTACGCTGGAGGTAAAGACAGCAAGGCAGGCTAGCTGGGTATTTCAGCATCTGTGCAGCAGGGTGGAAACTGTACTAGGAAAACATTTATGTGTATTATAACACATAGTATATCTTGGTACTGTATAATGTAAATATTCTCACGCCTACAACCTTCCTCCTAAATGTTTCCTCTTCTCTGGCGGTTTCATGCTTCCTCTAATCTCAGTAGCAGCTCATGTCTGGTTTGTTTGCAGATGCCAGTTGCTATCAGAGACAACATTTAACAATTTCTAAGCTGTTATTGTCTGTAACTGAAAGCCTAGAATATTTTCCCATAGCACAGTGACAGAGATGTGCAGCACTGATGTCTCCCCCCGTGTTCATCTGATAGCATGGTAACCTCCTTCTTTATGCTTCATCTCCCTCTTTCCTCTCTTGTCGTTTTGTTCTCAGCAGTGTCCTGCATGTTTCATTCGGTTACTGCAATCTGGACTTGTTTTGGATTGTTTCACCGTGGCCTTGCATTGCAACAGTGAGATAATTAACTATCACAGATCTGTGGAAGTGTAGGACTGCAGCAACAACACATAGCATGTAAATGTTTTTAAGGTCTGATATAAAACAAGAGCCAAATATTTTTCTCAGGAGATGGAGACTTAAATAGAGTTAAAATAAGAGTGACTATTGGTCTTACATTCATTGAAAGGGCAGAAACATGACCCCACAAAATTCAACTTCTGCAGGTTTTACATTATCATTGTTCAAGACATAGATTTTCTGCCATTTTCCAACTTTCTCAGTAGCTACTGTGAGGATTGTCAGATGCTTAATCTGATTCTAAAAACATCCGAACACCATCACAGCTGGAGTAAATCCCTACACCAAAGACAGCCCTTTCCAGGAGGATGACGACAGATCCTTTCACTCGAGACCTTGTAAACAAAGCTCTGGAGGTCTGATTGGCAGTGTGTATAGGAGAATGAGTAGGGAGAAGCTCTTTCTTTAGGTTTTTAAAAGTATGCATAGATCAGACTACTTTTTGTTTTAGCGATGAGCCAAAGTATTCAGTTAATCTGCTCGGTTTGTTTTCTATGTAAATTGTGCAAAAGGTTACTCTTCATAATTCACAAAATAGTTTTTACTTGACCATCACCTCTGACAAGGCTGTGTTCCCTGAGAGCAGAGCTTTCTTTCCCATGTAGCATCTATCATTAATACATCCATTTCCTCATTGATGTCTGCTTTAGCTCTCTGTCAAGTGTCACATGTTTATGAAAAAAAAAACCCACTTCGAAACCTGAGTCTTTAAATCCCTCACAGGGGGTTGTGCTCATCTGCCACTAAGTTATGCAATGTTGAACTGCCAAGTGCCCCTTGTAACTGTATCACTGAATTAAGAAGCATCTTCCACAGTAAACAAGCGAGAGTGTAGCCAAAGTAAGTGCAGAATGAGGAACTTTCAGGGCTCAGTCTAAACCTGTTTAGACAGTGAAGGTTGCATTCACTGGCACCTGACCAGAACTTTTCAAGGTACTAATGTCCCCAGCCTCCCCACTCCCCTCCATCCACCCACACACACGTGCATCATTAGCACTTAAAGCACTAAAATGTGTACACACACACAGAGAGAGCCAGTATCTAAAGGTTGACAAGCATTTCCTTAGAGATGTGCCATGTTGATGCAGATGTAATATGCATGATTAAAACAGGTACACATGGGTGCACACATAAACCACCCACCCACTCCCACACACACATCCATCCCCAGTGCTCATGAGCAAACTTGGCTGCCTTTGGCCCACCATTGTTCACTGGCACTGAGGCATAGCCAGGCTAAGTGAGGGCCCCTGATGGATACCTACCAGATTCAGACCACCAATAAAGGTGTGAGAGGAAGAGAAAGCAAGGAAATGGAGGGAAATTGAATAGGGGACTAGAAGATGGCACAAGATAGCAGAATATAGAATCCAAGGGAGAAGTGGGGAATTGGGGG